GTCGGCGATTGGGCCGAGCAAGGAATGGCAGCGGCGCATCTGTGTACCAGAGGGCCCGCTCTTTTTTTTTTTTGGAGACAAGCCGGAGGCCCGCTTGCTTAAGCGAAGAGGAAAATGGGCCGTCCTCGCTTTTGGGCCTCTCAAAAAAAAACTCATGATATAAGTATTTATTTTGTGTAACTTTGCACGTGAGTTTGGGAGCTTGAATTTCGAAGCTCGCAAGCTAGTGAAACATGCCTTACGTTTATGTGGGTCTCCATGTTTGGTTAAGCCAAGCCAATGATCTTGTGTTCGTCCATGTAAACGAGTCATTGAACGACTCAACGTAGAGCTCGTACATGTACGTCATGTCCGAATCTATTTCTTCAAAGAAGGGACGCATGGTCATTTCACCAAAGACTTGCCAAGCGTGGTGACTCCTCTAGGGGCGGATAGTACCTGCGCGACGGACGGACGAGGGGCCTGGACCGGTGGTGAAGACGATCGGCGTGGAGGCCGGATGTAGCGGTGGAGGTCGCGGAGTTCTGGGAAGGGCTTGGCGGGTGGCCATTGTGGAGGAGCGGCGGCATCGACGAGAGAGAAAGTGGATGCAGGGACAAAGGGAAGGATGGAGACATGGGGTACATATGGGGTTATGGGTGGGTCGGAATCCTACATGATTGGTGTCCAGACTCCAACAAAGCCCCTCGTATGCATTTGATTTGCGGAAAAACGGACGTCTGAAGTGGCCCGTGTACCAATGCAGAGTGACGTTGGATGGCAAACTGCTACCGGACAACTCGGTCCAGACACTTGTGGGAGGTTCGAGGGTCTGCTTTGGAGATGCCCTTATATTGTGTTCCTGGTTTTAAAGTTTTACAGTTTAGGGTTTACATACATTAATTTGCTAGCAAGACAGCAAGTGGGGCCAAAAACTAAAAATGCATGACCATTTTTGTATCTCAAAAATATAGTTATTTCAAAATATATAAATATTTATTTTGATATATGAACGATACACGAACAATATTGATATTATGCATGACCAGGAGCGGATCTAAGGGGGTGCCATGTCAAAACAGTTTATATAGTATACTTAGCATAGTTTTTTGTAACAAGTATGAGTATTTGCTATTTTGAGACAATTTGTTAGATATATGATGATATTTAGATGAAAAAGACATAATGTAGATTTATGTATATTTCTTAAACTTTGTAGCAATGTATGGAAGTTGGCACCCTCAATACTTAGAGCAACTCTAACAGTTCCCTTAAAAATCTTCCTGTAAAATCAGTTTTGCAGGCGACTGTAACTTTTAGGGGAAGTTGTCTAAGAGTAATTTTTGTCGGTTCCGGTAAAACCTTTTCCCCTAAATTTGTTTTTATTTTATTTTTCATTAAACAAAGCTAGATAGCCTAGGGGCTGCCAGTCAATGACACATGCGACGACCTCCAGCGAGGGGCAGCGCGAGGCAGTGCGGTGGCCACAGGCGAGAGGCGGCATGGTGAAGTGGGGCGACGCGACAATGTCAGTGGCTACGGCGGCCTGGGCAACAGTGACAGCGATGGCACGGTGTGGCGGCGGCCTGGCATGGTGGCAGATGGCGGCACAGGCAGCAGTGGTGCCGCGATGCATCAGCGGGGCGGGGGAGCAGGCGGCGGCGTTCCGGTGGGATGGTAGCGGCGCAGCAGGAAGTTTACTAGCCCGCCAAGAAGTTAGGGGGTGGTCATCTTCTTGTGAACCCGCGTGAAGATTGAGGCTATTTCACGGGACCCTCTAAAATTAAGATTGAGGCTATTTTGTAGGATCCTCTAAAATTAGTGTCAGTTTACGATAACTGTTGAAGAGGCCTTTTTTGCTTCAACTTTTCGTAAATAGCGGTTATTTTAGAGGCACGAGAGCCGTTGGAATTACGGTTAGATCCTAGGTCCGCCATTGTGCATGACCATTTACTTTGACATACAAATACACATTTTTATTTTAGTACCATGGACCTTTTTTTCTAAATTCTATGAACATTTCATAGGAATAATATTTAGCAGCATATGAACATTTTTATTTTATTTTAAAGGACTTTGCTCTTTGCTAGTATTCGGCCAGCAGCCCAGGCTACCAGCACAAGATAAGTGGATAACCCCATCGCTTCCACCGGTCTACCAGCTCTCCTCGTCCAGCAGAAATCCGAGGCAGCCATGGCGTCGTTAGCCCTCAGGCCCATCATGCCAGCAACCGCGGCGGCCGCTTCCACGACCACATCTCTCCACCGCTCCCACCGCGGCAGCCCCACCATGCTCCGGCGCCGCGTGACCCGCCGGCAACCAGTCACGTGCATGGCCGAGAGCAGCGGCGGGGGCAACAGCACCGTGGAGCTGGCCGCCGGGGCGGCCGGGCTGGCGTCGTGCGCGACGGTGGCGTGGTCCCTCTACACCCTCAAGGCGACGGGCTGCGGGCTGCCCCCGGGCCCCGGCGGCTCGCTGGGCGCGGCGGAGGGCGTCAGCTACCTCGTGGTGGCGGGCCTCGTCGGCTGGTCGCTCACCACCAAGGTGCGCACCGGGTCGGGCCTCCCGGCCGGGCCCTACGGCCTGCTCGGCGCCGCCGAGGGCGTCGCGTACCTCACCGTCGTCGCCATCGCCGCCGTGTTCGGGCTGCAGTTCTTCCAGCAGGGGTCGCTCCCGGGCCCGTTGCCGTCGGAGCAGTGCTTTGGCTAAGAATGCATGGCTGAGATGCTGTGGATCGTGTGAGACTCGATCTAGGGCGTGTTCCTGGTTCAGATTGTACCCTGAAATGAAATCAGTTTGACCAAGCATTCTAAGCATGTAATTGCTCTGAGCGTCAGGTGTTCTCGTCTTCAAGTTTTTTTTTTTTTTTGAGAAAGAAGAATCGTCCCTCTTCCCAGCTTCACTCAAAATCTCCAACCCACTCCCTCAAAAAAAAAATCTTAAAGGGTGTATACATTTGAGTGTACATGCTTGTAGGTGTGAAATCACTGACAAAGAGTTACCTAGCTTTGATGAAATTGCAAGCATAATTTGGAATTTGATAGAAGCGGCATAGCTAGGGGTGAACCACAAGAAGTTAGAGCAAGAGCCCTACGTAGGTATCGTAAACATCCTCGTTGTATCATGACACTGAAGCAAAAGAAAAGGAATGGGGGTTGGAGATTCCGGTAGAAACTAGGGTGAGGGCTGATTATGGAAGAATTGGCTGAAAAAACTGGGCCTTAAAAGTATGCCTTAGGTTTGAGGTAAAGGTTCAAATGAAAGATCCAAAACATGTGACACTACACATATCGACAAGAAAAGTAAATGTTAAAGGTTCGATACAAGGTCACTTGGGCCCAATACAAGCGACGGGATGTTGTAAAACATTACGAGGGGCTAAGCAGCAAAACCAACGTAAAAGGATCTCGTCCTGAAGACTGCCTAGCCGGTGTCATCTTGACGTCTCGCCCTCCGCAAGGCTACCACCCATAGAGCATCTACGGCCAGACTTGGTAAATCTGGCCTCTTAAATACCCACAGACGCGTCCTTGCACGCCCGCGGGCGCATCTGGACTTGCCCTCATATTTCCGTCCCGGCATCCACGTATCTCAAATCCAGACTCTTAAATCCATGCAAATACATGACCGTCGGTTATACAAGATAATGTCCCACGTAAATAGCAAATGTTGGTACGAAGAATAGAGAACGTTTACATAAAATTTATTTTAAGTGCCAAACTCAAGCATTGTCTCCTTGGTTGTCATTATGGGTTCACATGTGCTCCACAAGATTATTGATTGCATGTGCACCTACTGATCTCGAAGATTTTGATGCATCTGCAGAAAGTTTATCAGCTGAGCCGTGATACGTCTCCAACGTATCTACAATTTTTGATTGTTCCATGCTATTATATTACCCCTTTTGGATGTTTATGACCTTTATTTTACACATTTATATCATTTTTAGGACTAACCTACTAACCGGAGGCCCAGCCCGTATAGCTGTTTTTTGCCTATTTCAGTATTTTGAAGAAAAGGAATATCAAACAGAGTTCAAATGGAATGAAACCTTCGGAAGCGTGATTTTTGGAACGAACGTAATCCAGAGGACTTGGAGTGCAAGTCAAGAAGCAGCCGAGGCGGCCACGAGAGGGGAGGGCGCGCCCACCCCTACAGGGCGCGCCCCCCTGTCTCGTGGGCCCCTCGGGCGGCCACCGACTTACTTCTTCCTCCTATGTAAGCCTACGTACCCCGAAAACATCCAGGGAGCCAACAAAACAGAATTTCCACCGCTATAACCTTCTGTATCCGCGAGATCCCATCTTGGAGCCTTCGCCGGCGCTCCGCCGGAGGGGGAATCGACCACGGAGGGCTTCTACATCAACACCATAGCCCCTTCGATGAGTTGTGAGTAGTTTACCACAGACCTTCGGGTCTATAGTTATTAGCTAGATGGCTTCTTCTCTCTTTTTGGATCTCAATACAATGTTCTCCCCCTCTCTTGTGGAGACCTATTCGATGTAAACTCTTTTTGCGGTGTGTTTGTCGAGATCCGATGAATTGTGGGTTTATGATCAAGTTTATCTATGAGAAATATTTGAATCTCCTCTGAATTCTTTTATGTATGATTGAGTTATCTTTGCAAGTCTCTTCGAATTATCAGTTTGGTTTGGCCTACTAGATTGATCTTTTTGCCATGGGAGAAGTGCTTAGTTTTGGGTTCAATCTTGCGGTGTCCTTACCCAGTGATAGAAAGGGTTGCAAGGCACGTATTGTATCGTTGCCATCGAGGATAAAAAGATGGGGTTTATATCATATTGCATGAGTTTATCCCTCTACATCACGTCATCTTGCTTAATGTGTTACTTTGTTCTTTATGAACTTAATACTCTAGATGCAGGCAGGAGTCGGTCGATGTGTGGACTAATAGTAGTAGATGCAGGCAGGAGTCGGTCTACTTGTTGCGGACGTGATGCCTATATACATGATCATGCCTAGATAATCTCATAATTATTCGCTTTTCTATCAATTGCTCGACAGAAACCTCTAGTGAAACCTATGGCCCCCGGGTCTATCTTTTATCATATTTGCTTTCAACCTACTTTTATTTGCATCTTTACTTTTTGCATTTACATTATAAAATACCAAAAATATATTTATCTTATCATACAATCTCTATTAGATCTCACTTTCCCAAGTGGTCGTGAAGGGATTGACAACCCCTTTATTGCGTTGGTTGCGAGTTTTTTGTTTATTTGTGTAGGTGCGTGGGACTTTTGAGGAGCCTCCTACTGAATTGATACCTTGGTTCTCAAAAACTGAGAGAAATACTTACGCTACTATTGCTGCATCACCCTTTCCTCTTCAAGGAAAACCAACGCAAGCTCAAGACGTAGCAAGAAGGATTTCTGGCACCGTTGCCGGGGAGGTCTTCGCTCAAGTCAAGACATACCAAGTACCCATCACAAACTCATCTCCCTTGCATTTACATTATTTGCCATTTGCCTCTCGTTTTCCTCTCCCCCACTTCACCCTTGCCGTTTTATTCGCCCTCTCTTTCCCAATCTTCTCCTCTCTTTTCGCTTGCCTTTTTCTGTTTGCTTGTGTGCTTGTTTGTCCTTATGGCTTTGCCTAAGAGTACCGACCACCTTCTTAGAAGGTTGGAATAGATTGAATCAAATATTAGAAGCTTTATGAATTTGCAATTTGAGCATAATAATTTCTTCAGAAAAGAGCTTAAAGAACAAAAAGGTTTTTTGGGGTTTATGAATAAGGAGCTTGATGATATGAATAAAGAATTTTTTGGTGTGAACTCTCAAATTACCCGGCTTGAAAATGCTATAGCCAAGATTTCTGATAAGCAAGCTACCTTAGTCAATAAGATGGCTGCCAAACCAGAAAAGTTAGATGAAAATAATGATGAAGATCACAAAGTTATTGATGTGTCTCCTATTAGATCTTTGTTTTGCAATATGAATCTTGATAATTATGGGACTGAAGATGAGTCAACTTTACCTAGAAGGCGTCCCAAGAATTCAGAGTTTTTAGATCTTGATGCTAAATTTGGTAAAAGTGGGATTGGAGAGGTCATGACTTTAAATAGTATTGAACCCACTATCCCGGATTTCAAGAAATTTGATTATGATAATTGTTCTTTAGAAGATTGTATTTCCTTGTTGCAATCCGTTGTTAATTCTCCTCATGCTTATAGTCAAAATAAAGCTTTTACCAAACACATTGTTGATGCCTTGATAATCTTATGATGAAAAACTTAATTTGGAAGTTTCTATACCTAGAAAACTTAATGATGAATGGGAACCTACTAATAAAATTAGAATTAAAGATCATGAGTGTTTTGCTTTGTGTGATTTGGGTGCTAGTGTTTCCACGATTCCGAAGACTTTATGTGATATTCTTGGTTTCCATGATCTTGATGATTGCTCTTTAATTTTGCATCTTGCGGATTCCACCATTAAAAAGCCAATGGGAAGGATCAATGATGTTCTCAATGTTGCAAATAGAAATTTGGTGCCCGTAGATTTTATCGTTCTTGATATAGATTGCAATCTTTCTTGCCCTATTATTTTTGGTAGACCTTTCCTTAGAACGATTGGTGCGATTATTGATATGAAGGAAGGGAATATTAGATTCCAATTTCCATTAAAGAAAGGCATGAAGCACTTTCCAAGAAAGAAAAGTCAAATTATCTTATGAATCTATCATGCAAGCTACTTATGAATTGAGTGCCAAAGATGGCACTACTTAGATGCTTTTATGCCTAGCCAGGGGCGTTAAACGATAGCGCTGGTTGGGAGGCAACCCAATTTTATTTGTGTTTTTTGTTTTTGTTCCTGTTTAGTAATAAATCTTGCATTTACCTTCTGTTTAGATGTGTTTTTATCTTTTAATTAGTGTTTGTGCCAAGTAGAACCTATAGGATAACCTATGATGATAGTTGATTTGATTCTGCTGAAAAACAGAAACTTTGCGCACACGAATTTAATTTTGTTAAATCATAGAAACGTGATTTTGTGTTGATTCTTTTTGCTGCTGATCAATAGACAAATTGTCCAGGACTTCCTATTTTGGTACGATTTTTAGAGTTTCAGAAGTTTGCGTTAGTTACAGATTGCTACAGACTATTCTGTTTTTGACAGATTCTGTTTTTCGTGTGTTGTTTGCTTATTTTGATGCATCTATGGCTAGGAAAATAATTTATAAACCATAGAGAAGTTGGAATACAGTAGGTTTAACACCAAAATAAATAAAGAATGAGTTCATTACAGTACCTTAAGTGGTGGTTTTGTTTTCTTTCACTAACGGAGCTTATAAGATTTCCTGTTGAGTTTTGTGTTGTGAAGTTTTCAAGTTTTGGGTAAAGCTTTGATGGACTATGGAATAAGGAGTGGCAAAAGCCTAAGCTTGGGGATGATACGTCTCCAACGTATCTACTTTTCCAAACACGTTTGCCCTTGTTTTGGACTCTAACTTGCATGATTTGAATGAAACTAACCCGGACTGACGCTGTTTTCAGCAGAACTGCCATGATGTTGTTTTATGTGTAGAAAAGAAAAGTTCTCGGAATGTCGTGGAAATCCACGGAGGCACTTTTTGGAAAATATAAAAAATATTGGCAAAAGAATCAATACCAGGGGGGCCACACCCTGTCCACGAGACAAGGGGGCGCGCCCCCCTATCTCGTGGGCCCCCTGGACCTCCACCGACCT